AGCAAGCCTAGTTTTATGTTAATTCCAAGGTTAATTTATTAATTGAACTATATATATATATATATATATATAATAAAAAAAACTATTTGGTAACAAATTACCACATTTTTGCCTTTAAAGGTAATAAAGGTACTTTACTATTCTAAAAAATTAACTTTCTACCTCAAATGAAAATGTTAATGACAAATAGATAACATGGAAAAGTCTATTTGACCCTTAAGTTTAGCCTTCTAGGTTAATTTGATGAAGGTTAATTTGATGAAGGGCAAAAACATTAATTTCCTATTATAATCCATGATAGATAAATCAAGTCCAATGCATAATGATTTTTTCACATGAAATAGTTCTGTTAATTTGGAGATACTAATCAGGATCGACTAATGATCGGTTTGTTTAGGTATTGATGTAGCCAGCTGACATTTTGAAACCCGTCTAATATATGCACTAAAGGTGTAAGTTATTTCGATTAAAGTTGTGAATTATGTTTTGTTCTGATTGGAATTACTGATATATCTTACACTAAATTATAAAATAAAATAAATTTTATCTTGTTCAAAATCTTAGATATTCCAAACTTCTCAGCTAAATTCCAGCCAAGGACAAGATCTCAGATTTTTCCAGATTTTTCAGGTAAATTCCAGCCAAGAACAAGATCTCAGATTCTTCCGGATTTTTCAGTTAAATTCCAGCCTAGATATTTCAACATCAAATTTCATTCAACTCGCTCTGTTCCTATCATGAAAAATCTTACCTAGATTGCGTTTATTTTCAATTAGACAAACCAACCATCCCAGTCCTTTTTTAGTTTTTTTTTTTAAATTTAATTTCGTGATAAGAGAACATATCGGTCTTATGGTAGAAATATGGAAAGCCCAAAGGTATTTTTATTAAATTGGATTTCCATCAATGAAGTTTTGATTTTCAACAGGATAGGGATATGGAAAGCTAAAATCCCTTAAGCCAGATGATTCTATCAGCCAACAAGATAGTTCTCTCAAAATTATGAGGGCCCTTCTGCGAAGGCTCGGACAGAAATTTGATGTCTCCAACCAGTTGCTCTAGTTATCATACCTAGTCCAGGTTTGCCTACATGCTCAAAGGTTTAGGTTGTATGCATGGGGGCTTAACTCAAAACAGAATATGTGTATATATATAAAAATAAAAGCAATCTTCGACATAGCCATCGAGTAAGCAGAGATTTGAGATTATGAGCCGCCTTGCAGTGAACTAGTCGGCAACAAAAATTACAGTTGAAATGATATTGAATAGAATCAAACAAGAGACTGGAAAGAAGAAAATAAAGCTGAGTTGTTTAAATTCATGAGTTCCCTACTCTTCCATCTTTCCCTCTCCTTTATTACCTTCACAGCTCAGTTTGGATGCGCAGTCCTGTAAACGACACCAGCACCTCAATTAAGATCTCTATTGGTTTCGAACTACATTTTGGACAAAAACAGAAAACAATTAACAGAACAGAAAACCACAAGATATTACAAACATTGAAAAGTCGACAAACAAACATGAGACGCAACTACTCTTGTTAACACATTGCTTATCTTGATGATATCAATATCCACTTCTCAGCTTAAGTTGATGACGTTCATGAATTCCTCATGGTGACATTTTGCAAGACGAGGGGTAGGTTATGATATAAATTGTACATGAAACCTCCAATGAGACAAGAAGCCAGCCCTGATGTTTCTAACAGCTACGTGATTTGGCAGAACTAGACTTTGATGTTAAAATTATTTACTCATAAAAATCCTACATTCATCCTTTTTTTTTAGCAGAGAGAGAAAAAACACAGATAATCAAACTCTCCAAACTTGATTAACATCAAGGTAAAGAAGAAACTACAGCATTAAAACCATTCTAGAGCCGAGCAAAGTTGGTGAGTATCACATACACTTATGCCTTGATAGAAAGTCTGGCTTTCAGCTCCTCTGCCACAGCATCAATGAACTCCTCGGTATTGAGGTAATGGCCCCTACTAACCCTGCAAAACGCACAAGAATAATATTAACACTCACAATTCATATAAAGGAGAGCATAAACATTGATATACATTCAAAATACACTTTTTACTGGGCTGGTCTTACTTAGATCCATGGATCAGCAGAGCGAGATCCTTGGTCATCTTGCCAGACTCCACAGCACCGATACAGGCTGCCTCTAGTTTCTCAGTGAAATCCAAGAGTCTGGCATTGTCATCCAACTTTGCCCTAACCAATAAAAAACACATTTAAATTATTCACCAGAGCTTTCAGCAAACTTAAATGGTATAATTTTCAAGACCAATGGCATAAATTTGCAGGATCATAAATACATACCTGTGGGCAAGTCCTCTTGACCAAGCAAAAATAGAGGCAATACTGTTTGTGCTGGTTTCACCACCTTTCTGGTGAACCCTGTAATGCCGAGTAACTGTGCCATGGGCTGCTTCAGCCTCTATAGTCTTTCCATCTGGGCACACCTGAACCATACCAATTTAAACATAGTCAGAGATGATGACAAAGAGAGAGTGAACAATATGTTAATATCTTAGTTGTTGCTGAAATTTCTTTCAGCAAACCATCCTCCGCCACCCCCGCCACCCCTCCTCCCTTCCCTTTTCCACACTAGCATTAACCTATTTCTTGTATCAGCACCTTGATACAAGAAAATCCCAAGTTCCACTGTCAATCTAATAACTAAAGAGTAATTAGAGGATGCATTTTAATGTGTCATTTTAACTGTGGCGCATGAGAATTAGAGAAGCTTCAAAGTTGGGGAAACCAATGCTTTTTGAATGTAAAAAGTAGTCCATAAGGAGAAAAGGATGCAAGACAGTTTGATTAGCAGAGGGAGGATTATTCTACTGCAGGAGTACACAAAATACAGATGAACAGAGATGGCTATCAAAAATAAAACAAAAGGCAACTAAAAAATATCACAAGAAAGTTTGTCGGGTATCATACCAAGACAGAGGTCATCAAGCCAAGAGATCCAAAACCTGTAAAAAGACAGCCAGATATCAGTACTGAACTTCCTACCCAGAACCAAAGGCCACAAAGAAGAATTGTAAATGTTGCAGCCAGAATAAGATAAGCACACTACAAAGGTTTTGGAAGCTGAATCTTCATGGTGTCACTGGTCTGTTCCACATACCTTGGGCCAAGAAATCACTCTGCACATCTCCATCATAGTTTTTGCATGCCCATACATAACCGCCTTCACTCTTAAGAGCATAAGCAACCATATCATCAATGAGTCGGTGTTCATACCTTCCAGTTCAACCATACAAGTTATTGACAATACAAATGCAGCATAAACAAACCATCATCTTAAATGAAAGACAGTGAGTCACTCACCATATTCCTGCAGCCTCATACTTTGATTTCCAGTTGGCCTCGTAGACTTCTTGAAAGATGTCCTTGAATCTGTATCAAATAGAAAAGTCGACATATATCAACTAAATAACCAAAAGAAAATACAGGCAGGTTCATGAAAGTCAAGCATGAAGTTCTAAAAGGTATACAAAGTGATGAAAGTGTCATACCTTCCATCATACTTCTTAAGAATGGTATTTTTTGTGCTGAGATAAAGTGGCCACTTCTTCTGGTAAGCAGTGTTCATGGAAGCCTCGGCAAAAGCACGGATGGACTGCATTCCAGGGTAAAAAATAAAAGGCAAAATTAATATACCCGCATTTTGGCTCATTAGAATAATCATCAGACAAAATTAAAATACCTCATCAGTGTTATACATGGACAACGCCACCCCACCAGCACCTGTAAAGTTGTAAACCTCCAACTCAGTCTTCTCATCCTGTCCTTCTGGCACTGCAGAATGAAAGACAAATATGAAATGAGAAAATATCAACAAAATGGGAAATTATTCCTAATAAATTCTGAATAAAAGCTGCAACTCAACAGAAAATCTTACCAAAAACTAGCTTGAGCTTGCCAGCTCCTTTGATAACTGCATCAGTTGCTCGATATTGATCGCCAAAAGCATGTCTTCCAATGCAAATTGGCTTTGTCCAACCTGACAACAGCAATAATCAGTACGGCCCTAGTCCATCACTGAAATTGTGGAGCTGCTGCATCGACAAAATGCAAGTTACCTGGGACAAGGCGGGGGATGTTTTTGCAAATAATTGGTTCTCTGAAGACAGTGCCTGCAGAGATCAAATATGTAATTGGAGCTAAAAGCAAAAGGAATGTTATATAAACATATGGTCTGTCTTAATTGCAGCTTCACTAACCATTCAAAATGTTCCTGATTGTTCCATTTGGACTCTTCCACATCTGCTTCAAATTAAACTCCTTGACACGATCTTCATCTGTCAATAACACATTGAATACAAGAATTGTGCGTGGCTGCTTTAGAAGAAAAAAAAATATTGCCATAGGAAATTAATGTTCATTTAAATCGTTGTTCATGCCAACAGAAATGAATGCATACCTGGAGTAATAGTTGCACACTTGATTGCTACGTTGTACCTGAAAAGATTCGAATTTTAATAACATAATCACAGTCAGGTCAAACACTTAGTTCAGTACTATTAATCCAATATCTACACAAAAATACTCACTAGTAAGAACTTAAGGATCGATCAATATTAACAGCTTTTTACATACATCTTTATATCTAAAAGGAGAGGATTAAAGGATAACTCTATCTGGGATAAAGGATTCTCAGCACAAAGGAACAGATATATAAATGAACTGAAAACTCACTTAAGAGCAGCTTCGGCACTTTCAACAGTGACTTTATCATCAGTGGCATCACGGTGAGGGAGACCAAGGTCAAAATACTTGATATCCAACTCCACAAAGGGGAAAATAAGCTGTCGTCATTGCACCAAAACCCACATTACAGCTATAATCCATTAACTCAAACCTTTATCAACCAGCAAGATAAATTCATAAATGTACAAACAAATATTAAAATCACCTTATCCTTTATTGATTGCCAGAAAATTCTGGTCATTTCATCTCCTGTATCATCACAATAACAAACAAGCACGACATGAGAAACAAAGAATGATATAAAGCATTCAAACACAGAAAGAAAGGCACTATCTTTGTGATTGACAAAATGACGATTCCAATAAATCCCAGATCTCAAGTAAAGGGATCAATCAATCCCAGATTCAAAATCAGATCCTATCCATGACCCAACAACTTTTTTTAGACAAAGAAACATAAGGATCCAAACTTTCATGCATCTACAAAAGCCAGGATGCTTACTTTATAACACCATTGCATCACTAACAACCAATCAAAGTCTAAACTTTCGGTGATGAAAAAATGATTCCAAAGAGCTTAAAGTGATAAGATCATCAAAATGAGTAAAGGAGTCCGAATTTAAAAAAAAAAAAAAATCCTACCGTCCATTTCAACGATGCTGTTTTTTTAAAAAAATCCTACCGTCCATTTCAACGATGGGGTTGGCAACCTTGATCTTTTCGAAAGCCATTGTTTTGTTGTCTTATTTTCGTGTGAGCTGAAAGAGTTTTAAATATTGAAACTTTAGGATTGTTTTTCTTTCTTTCTCCTCCCGTGAATTGAGCAGAGAAGGAACAGAGAAAGGGTGGAGTCTTGTTGCAGAGAGGAAAGACACGAGGTAGGTGGAACTGGTTTATATACGCAACCACGGAGAGTTTTGCCCTACCAATCACTTTGATGTTGGGCTTTTTTTAGTAAGAGATTAGAGAAAGAAATTAAAAAATAAAAATACTGATTCGAATGATAATTAGATTTAAGGATGATTAAAATAATTGAATTATTTAGAATTTGTAAAAAATGATTCAAAATTAACAAAAAGGAATTCTAAAAATTAAATAAAAGCATTTAGAGGATTAGAAATGCTATATTAAAGATAAACTAGTTTTTTAAATAATATAAAGATAACTTTTTTTATTATAAATATTCCAACAATAAAAAATGATTTATAAAAATCAATTATATTTTAATATAATTCATATTAAATTAATTTTAATATAATTATATAATTAATTTAGATGTTTATTTAGAACGATTATTTAAGTTTTCTTCATTCTCTATAAAATAAGTATGTATTCAAGCCAAAAATTATTTTGTTTGTTGTTCAGATTCTATAATTGGATCATTTCTTGTATTTAGCAATGTAAAGATAAGTAAACAATCTTTTTCTGGTGAAATTTTTTTATTTTTTTGTGATTTTTTTATTGAATAGACATTTAAATTCAAGTATATTAAGTTATCAATTAATTAATTAGAATTACTTGATTGAGAGAGAATATTTTCGGACTTATTCATAAAAAAAATTAATAAAATAACTTGAAAAATTTGAATCCATCTACATTACAAAAAAAAAAAACTTAAGTTAAAACCTTATAAGAGAGTGTAAAAGAAACTCACTTCAATATCTAATAATTTTGTAGTTTTTATATATATGAATTAATAATAAACATTGCCTACAACTTGTTCTAACATTACAATTTGACTATTTTTTAGAATTAAAAAAGGATTGATATACTAGTTTAATTTCATTTTCAACGAGACAAAATATAATTATCCTCAAATTAAAATAAATAATAAAAAAATATGTCACTTTATATTTTTATCAATATCAGCTACTATTATCATTTCCTCTCAATTTTATTAAATATAACAACATAAATAAAAATTATCTTCCTTAACCCATATCAAAAAAATAAAAAAATAAAAAAATAAAAATCATCACAATTATCAAATTAACAACAAAGATTTAAAAAATGAAAAGATATAAAAGAGAAAATAGAAAAAACCTTTTAAATAAATATATTTTTTAATTTCAGCTAATTAACACAACCGATGTTTTAATTAACTAAAAAATAATTGTTTTTTATTTTTTAAAATTTGAAAGAAGGGTAAAGCACAACACAAAATTTTAAAATTTACAAGTTTCTTTTGTTATGTTTTTAAAGAAAAAATTAAACTATTTACCACTAACTATAAAAATAATTGTTGGTCAATGATCATTTTTTTTTATCATTTCTATAAATAAATTAAGAAATAGCTCTTCAAAGAATGAATAGCTATTTTAGTTATTCATTTGTTTGAGCCATTAAAATAAATAAAAATAAAAAGTAGAAGTAAAAGTAAAATTTTTAAAATTTTTCTTCTTATTTAGCTATCTTTTCAGGGATGTTTTTATTAAAAAGTTGTATCAATTTGGTTTTAATTTTAAATTACAAAAAAAAAAACAAGAAATCAAATTAAAAACAAAACAAAACTACATATAATCAAATCAAACCAATTACCTATTTTTTTTCAAAAAATTGTTTTTTGATAAAAATCACCCAACTTTCTTTAATTTTTAACTAATTTCAAATTATTAATTTAAAAAAGAAATAAATTGAATTGAATTGGACCAGATGAAACTATTTAGTTTTTTTATTCAATTAAGTTAAGTTTAAGTTTTCTTTAAATATTAATTTATTATAATTTTTTAACCAAAAACTTATTTCAAATGAAACATTTCACATAATTCTTGTTTTTCTATACCTGTAAGCATTGAATTTTTATTTTTGTTTTAATATAATTGAAGTGGTGGTTCATTTTTCAAATCCATTATTAGCAATCCAAACCCTAAACCATAATTATTTTTTTCTAATAAAATAATGAAGACCTAATGTGCAGAATGCATTTTTTTCCTCCAAGAACGCATAATGTTCTCTTCAATGATCCTTGATGAGTCGGAAAAGGTTCCTCACGTAATCAAATGAGTCGATGACCAAATGTTGATTAACATATTAAAAATACAAGAATTAAAAGGCACAAATGCAATGGCATATTGTAATTAAGGCATGGAATGATGGGCAATCGTTTTAGAGGTGGTCCCCCCCAACTAACCTCCATTTTTGTCAGAAATGATGGCATCAATTTTCCACCTAACACATTGACCTAACCCTAATCCGAAAAAGTGGACTCTCAAACGAAGGTATCGTTTGGCAATATTGGGGTATTTGTTGGGCACATCTATCGAGTTTTT